CCACCCCCACCAGCACCCCACAGCACCTATGTCAACTTACTTCCAGCATCTTGAGTATTATTCCAAGTAATCGACATACGAAATTCGGCAAATTTAAATAAACATATACATTTCTTACAGTACTTTTCTAAGTAAATTTATTATTGACAACTTGTGTAAAAGAGCCAGAAGAAAGTTACGAGTTTGTTTTCTATGTATTCTTTCAGCTCTGGGCCCTAGTTCTGCTGACTGTGTATATATATTATGCAGCGATAGGTGAGTGTTATGGAGTACTACCCAGTTTACAGAATTAACAAGATAAATTTTTAGAAAGTTATGAGAAAAAAAAACATCATGGCGAAGAAGGCTTTTCGTTTTCTTTCGTGTAAAGATGGTGAAAATTGAATTAATTCTCTATGGTGATCTGTCGAAACTTTATATCTCACGGGTAAATCGCTCTTTAGAAACAAACTTTTTTTTTAGAAATGAAATGTAACACATGACTGTATAAGAGTGAAGCGTAGTCATAAATGAGGGGTGCGTGCGACACTTTGACCGACATGATTGCACAAGACGATTGTATTTTCAATGACTTTTCTGGACAAAAAATAATTTTCGTCAGTGTAAATAAAACGGCGCAGACTGGTCACATTTACCCCAATAGAATACATATATCTTTTAAGATCAACAGAAATGGTAACTATTTTATTATCTTAAAAGAAAGATAAATTAAACAGAATGCATGGAAAAGCATTTGAAGATTCAGTACTCTATAAATGATAAATAAACTTGAAAAATATATTTAAAAAATGAATGTGTCTTCACATACATCTATTTCAGTCAATGCCGCCAAGACCACAGTGGTGGTAGTGACCGGGGTCAACCTGACCACCTATACTACGTCTACACTGGACTGGTTGGTTATCTCGGAGGCCAACATATACACCATTATTGTAGCCGCCGCACTGTGGTTGATAGCCTGTATAGTGCTCTTTGTTGGAATTGGGGTGGTGAGACTTGTTCATTTGTTTTTCATTTTACTTTTTTAAATTCTTCTGTTTGATTATGTTTTTTTTTTTATTTTTCTATAAATATACATGTATGTGTGTGTTGTAAGCGAACTAACATGCTTTCGTACTGTAAACAAACAGGCAGGTGTCACTTTCTTTACAGCTCGGCAAAATTTGACTCTGTATAAGCCCTTGGATTATTTTAAATAATAAGTATGCATGGGCAGATGAAAATACATCATCAAATAACAATATTGTATAGATTATTTCATATTTTGATTTCAGAGAAACCGCTGGTGTTTTATTCCTTGGCTGATAATGATGGCGTTGCTGTCCTTGTACTATCTTGTCATCATCATTCTTCTGCTGGTCTTCACTGTGACCTATCTGTGTAAGTATTCGACTTTTACATTTAGGTATTCTGTATTATATTGAATATAGAAATAGAAAATAGGTAATAAGAACAAGAGGCAGACACAGCAAAATATTCAAAATATCATCTATTCAGTTTATGAAAACTACAGAGGAGAGATAGACCTACTCTCTGCCTACAGGGTGCGCTAGTAGTATGTTACTGTACCAGATACGTTTTGTGTACAGTTTTAGGAGGTTCCTGTGAAATGAAAGGGCACCATCTCTCCAGCTTTTGAAAAATGTCCGAAGATGTACATGTATATCAGTTGACCTCCCACTCCATAATTGTAGGGTCAAAGGTTACAGCACTTGAGTAGGAAAACTTTACAATATAGGCCTACTGATGCAATTTTTTCATGCTTTTTTCATTTATTTACCTATTACCTCTGTAACACTATCTATATGCAGTCAGTTTGATAACTTATTATACTGCATAATGAATTAATGTCTTATATAATAATATTATCTATATTGTGTTACTTTATTTTGTAGATTGGTGGGTAGTTTACTGGTTGGTAGTTGTCCTTGCTCTGGGCTTGATGGCTCTTGATGTAAGTATATGACAACTGTATGGGCGTGTGCTTATGCGTGTGCGTGTGTGTTCTTATATGCATGTAGGTTTTCACTATGTGCATATGTGTGTGTGTGTGTGTGTGTGTGTGCACGTACGTGCGTGTGCGCGTGTGTTCGAGTGTGGATGTGTGTCTTCAGTGTGTGTGTGTGTGTGTGTGTGTGTGTGTGTGTGTGAGTGTGTCCTAGAGAGAGACAGAACGTAGGGGTGACTACCAGTATGAGAAAAAATCATTAACAACTTTAAGAAACAAGTCATGCATTGACAGTATCATAAATACACTATAGGTTACATTATTTTTTTCTTTTTTAGATCTACAGCATAGTGTGTGTTGGATTCTACTTCACCCAGCTTGCAAGAAGAGAAGCGGTAAACCATTTGTTCTTTTTCTTATAGATACATACAATTTATCTAATTGGAATAGGATGGTGTAAATATACTGGGTATATTTCACTGAATACGGAGCGAATCAATTGAATACAAATATGTATGAAACAAGTTTAATGAGTAGTGGATAGCACAAGTCACGATTCTAAAAAAAATGAAACCTTAAATTCTATTTTTGATGCAATTTGGTCAATTTTGATTAGACATAATATTTATTGCAAGCATTTAAATTTAGCTTAACCATGGCTGTTATTTTTATGAAATATATCTTCCTTTTCTAAAATATTATTACTCCTCACAGAAAAAGAAGAAGCTTCCCATCCACCTCTCCGACCTGATCGACTCCCGGAACTCCCCTGTCTACATCTACCCCCAGAGCTCCCACCCGGGCGGGCACTCTCTCAGGGGACCCGTGTACGTCTACACCGACTTCCCCAGGGGTGGCACCCTACCCATACGCAACGGGGGCTACCCGCCGTACCGAAACTTCTCCAAGAGCCGAGACTACGATGGCAGACGATACTGAGAGGATAATTGACTTGAATATGGACTTATGTAAACATTTGATAAAACTGTGTAGCGCATTAGAATTTCCGGAGGGAGCGCAGACGATAATTGGTTGGAATTTGAACTAAATTAATTGATAAAAAAAAAATTCGCTCTGCGGATAACACAACAGGCGATAATGAAATGTTTGGGGAATAGAATACGGTGAAGAGGAAATGTAATTTTTTTCCTTCGCAAAATATTGAAAAAAATTAAAGCAGGCGATAGAAAAATGTAGTTGCATCTTAGGACAAAGTTGAATTTATGAGAAAAAAAGAATGAAATCATGTTGTTGTGAGTCGGTGAAATAAGATTACTCAGATCCTGGGATTAAAAAGGACAACACAAGAGCGAGAGAGAGAGAGAGAGGGGAATAGCCGGAGAGAGAGAGAGAGAGAGTGAGAGAGAGAGAGAGAGAGCAAGGAGAAAAAAGACCGGAGAGCTGATATCACATGCGATGTATAATGAGAAATATTGGACAATTCTGATAGTGCTGTTCGCCATTCTAGGAAGAAAAAATATATATCCTTACGCTGTGTGCTATAATAGTCAGTGATGACGAATAATGGTATTTTCCCGTATAAATGGATTGTTTGAGAGTGCTTTACAAATAATGATAACATATTTTTAAGTATTAAAATTATTAAACAAAAAAATTAAAAACTAACATTTAATCGTTCGTGAAACAAAACAAAAGACAGATATTTGGTTTCTTGGTTTCTTAGCAAATTCAAATTAAAAAAAATATTGTAATGTTTCACGTTTTTTAATACTCAGGGTTTATATGTTTTAGTACTACATGTAGTAATGTGTGGATTTTGTTATTTTTTATTTTATTATTATTATTATTTTTATAAGATGTTCATTGTACTGTCGCCCATCTTGGAGTTTCGTTTCAAAAATGTGACCGGTTGTAATTCGCTATAAAGATGTGAGCAGCATAATATACACCATCTTTAATCACACTGTTGTGCTTTAATGAAATAATATAATATAGAAATTGGAAATTATTTGAGTTTGTTTGCTTCATTCAAATGGACTTCCATTAATAGCTTTACTAATGATAATATTTTGTATGTTGGAGCAGAAAGTTGTTGCATGATGAATAAAGTATGCAAACTGTATTCACTGTTTTTGCAAGTTATTCAAGATAGTATAAAAAGCTGATGTGCTGAAGCAATCACGCATTTTAAGTTTAACAAATTCACATTAAATTAAGGTCTCTGGACATGCCGCCAAAGATTACCCTATCTTCATCCTTATTAAAAAAAATAGTCCTGTGTTCTACAAGATGTCTTTCGCTTTCTGCAGTTCTTTTACATATTATTTTATTTTATTAATTCGTTTCATAAGTGCAAAAGATTCAAAAATGCTTTTACATGAAATAAATATCCACAATTTTCATGCACATTTACCGGTACAACACTTAACATATGGAATTTACACAGCATAAACAGCAAGAAATATATTTGTCACTGCTACATATATATTTAAAATAAATTCGAAAGACAATATCCCCCACTGCAGCGAGTTTATAAACAAGATAAGCGAATTCAAAAGCAGCACCAACTGCGCTTGTCAGTTGACCTACATTAAACCCTCACCTGTAAATACCGACTTAATGTGTCACCTACCTGAGACGATAACAAGCAATGGCGGCCGTCTGCGCATGTGCAGTAAACTCAGGTGTACTATATCCCCAGCGGTTAAGTGACAAAAATGGAGGACGCCAAGACTTAAAGAAGATCAGATTTAAACCGTCGCCAAGATGATGACCAAGTGTTGTTTCTGCTGGAGTTTGCACAGGGGAACTCTAGCATGCTGCTTCTATACCCTGGTAAGTGTCCTTTGGGAGTAATGAGTACAGGTGAACTATAAAAGTGTTAGTATAGAGGTGTTAGTGGCAGTACTTTTTTTATGTGCTCATAACTGGTACGTCTATATCCTGATGCGTGTACCCAGCATATAAATACGTAGTACAGGTGCCCATGCTGCATTGCTCTCTCTCTCTCTCTCTCTCTCTCTCTCTCTCTCTCTCTCTTACACACATGCACATACGCACACAAACACACACACACACACACACACACACACCTGGGGTCTTTCTCTCTCACATACACACACACACGCACACACACACACACAAATATTTTATTTAAAGGTGCACATGTGCTTGTAGTATATTTGAAGTATTACCGATATTTCTTCTTATATTCCAGTTTTGTTCACTCGGCAGTCTAGTCTACTACTGCTACATCGCCACCCTCAGTAAGTATAGAGTCTATTAGAATATCGTACAACTTCTATCTCCCTATGCATGTAACGCGTACACTTTAATTAATACATTGTATAAGCTGGCGACATCATTTACACATTTACACCGCTTAAATCTGGTTCTCTACGGCTAAAAATTTTTCAATAAATAATTAATATACGTGGAATAGAAATATTTTGAGGAAGTCATGATTAATATTTGATACAATATTTATTTTTAATTTAATGATTCTTCAATGTATTTTTTGTTCTTGATCTTATGTGAGTTTGATTTAAATGCTTAAGAGTTATTTCTTGATTGTTTGTCTTGTGAAATTTTAACAGTCGAGCATCCCAGTCTAAGTTTAATTTAAAATGCGTGTAATTTAAAATTCAAACAATGTCAAAATATTTCCCTGTCAAATTTATCACATTTCAGCCTCCATGGCCGTAACTGGGGGGTATTACACGGAGTGCGGGACATTTTTTGGCGGGAATTTTATCCTGAGTGACGCCATCAGTTACATATCAGTACCCCTCCACTTACTGTGGCTGTTAGCGTCTCTTGTGGCACTGTGTGGGGCTGGCAAGGTATGGCACAGTTACTGTGGTAATGTAGTAGTAATATATGTATGTGTAGTAATATATGTTTCGTCCAAAGGTTAAGAATATAGAAAGAATGAGACACCTACCTGAGTATTAGAACGTCCGTAACCTAACAGATAGGTCGTTTTCAATTTTCAATTTCCCTTGCACATACACTGTACATGCTACTTGTCATATGATCGTCTCATTATATATATATATATATATATATATATATATATATATATATATATATTCTGAAATTCCTATTTGTTTTACTACGTATTTAACAATCAATTCATTCATATTTGCCTTTACTGCTTGTGTATTTTTATTTCTTATCTCGATCCCACTTTAATACCCCTTTCAACTCCTGAATATGTCAGTGCTCAACTTTATCTCCACCTGAATTGCTAAATTGCTGTATCGCAATAGATAACCCACCTTTCCCTAAATGTTCTTATGTCTACCCTTTACTTACACACGTTTACAAAGATTAAGTAGGCAACACGATGTTTATCATGTGATGTTATAATATCATTTATTAGAATGAATTGTATTTTTCTACTCACATTCCAAAACAAAATATTTTTTAAATATAAGTGTTTTGTGATATTTTTCAGAGTCGGACAAGATGGATGTTAGTGCCATGGATGGTGTTCACCATTGTAGAGTGTTTATACTACATAGTCTGTATAGTGTTATATTACATATGTGGCATGGATACAGGTATGGTTTTTAATTTATCACTTTATTTTATTTCTATTATCTTATATTAAAAGGAACACATTAAAAACATGCAAGTTTGCTTGCTAAAAGTTGAGGGAATTCAAAAATTCTTTTGCAAAGACATATCGTAAAGTAAAATGAGTATATTATAATATTCGATATTCAAGTTTATCATTATTCAGTATTAATTGAAAATATCACATTCTTTTCTAGTTTTTCTTCCCAACCTGTCTTCGTACATCTGGGTGCCCGTGGTGCTCAATATCGCATTTTTTGTAATAAACGTAAGTAAAAAGGTTGGCAATAAAATGAAGATTGTTTATGTGTCATTCATTGGATTCTGGCATCAGATTCTTTATTTTTTTAGAAGTGATTACCTGTCGTCCTGGTAAATTGAAAGTACTTTAGATATTTGAATTTTAAATATTTATACATATGTATACCATACTTGGTTAAAATTGCTGAATTAAGGAGTATCATTTCATATACCGATTAGTATCATGAATGGTACATTATTTTGCTTTTTTGGTATTTCAGCAGTACAAGTACTAGTTTATAATTTTATTGTACTGTGCTTAGTCGTATCAAAACATTGACCAAATAATATGCAAAGATAGCTTATATATTTGGGTGTTTTTTAGGTAACAAATGTTTCAATAAATTATAGTTTGAGCGAAGTTATTTTCACTAACAAATTACCGTACTCTGTATTTCAGGTATATGCATTGATATGTGTTGGGTCGTATCACCATTTATTTGGATACACTGATGATCTAGATTCGGTGAGAAATTTGCTTGATGTCTTCAAAAACACAAAATTTTAAAGACTTCTGTGCATATCACTTGTTCATTTCTAATGTATGGAGAGAGTCTGTGCATACAGGGCCCTATTACTTAAAAATGGTTAATCATAACAGCAATGAGCACAGATACAGGCTGTTTTGATGACAACAGGATAAAAGAAGCGAGAACAATAAACAGGCTTTTAAATCATTAAGAAAAAAACAAACAAAACAAAATGAATTATGTGCTTTGCGTAGAAATATTGAGGTTGCTAGATTTGTGAGATACTTTCACTGAGCCACACAGATTAAACTTACTATTTGGGTAGTAAGTATCACCATACATTGTTTATCTTTTAAATAGCAAAGATAGTCTTTTCATGTACGCATAATGTGGGTAGAAAATTTATTACCAATCAATTATTTTTATTCATAGGCTGACGGTTACAGTAACCATATCACCGGGTCAAGGTCAACTTCAGGAGGTGGAGGAGGTTTCTCGCTAGAGGCCCCCACTATCTACTCCAGCAAGTATCCGGAACTACCCGAAGAAAAACGAAAAATAAAATTGAAGAAGGGCAGTGAGAGCACGGTATAATGAAACCAAATTGTTATGTTTTCTCCTAAAGCAAGGATGAAAGTTGAGGTTTTCTAAGAAAAGAAACTGTATGTGGTGAAAATATTTAAGCAAAGTAATTTCGTGTTAAATATGAAAAAAAACTTTGAAAAGGATTACAGTTAGCAGCAAAGTCTAGGTTACATTAACTTTGTTCATCCTGAGATGCATGCAGACGAAATTTATTCTATTGACACAGCTGACAAGAAAATCTGCCCTTTAGTTTATAATATCTCGAAACAAATGACAAATTAAAGCACGTGGATTTTGAGTAAAGCAGAATCATTTGACTGTATTATCTCATTTGAAGGGGGAGCTTTAGAGGCCATCATTTTGTCGTAGTAAGAAACCGTTTTATATTAAACTAAACTGCATGTAGTGCCTAGGGAGAATTTTGCCTTTTAGCGTTCAAGGTGATTTTAGGACTCTTTGGGTCGAACTAGTTAATAAATTTTTCCATATTTTCTTATTTTCTATATTTTATATATTTTCTTCTTTCTGTCTTTGCAAAGTGGTCACGTGGTACATTTTGAAGCAATCTCATTTTTATTTAGCAACTTCGATGACAGAATCAACAGCAAAATTCTCTCTTTGACATTATAACACCTGTACTGTAAGATTGAACTTTTTAACATGGCTAAGACATAAAGCTATAGGAGTAACTTTCAGTGAGCTGTTTCTATATATTGGTTTATTCAAGTGTGGAAGAAATATGTGTTAATCTTTAGTGCAGTTGGGTTATTGTCTATAATTAGAATTACGCATGATTATTTTGTTTACCATTAACGGCTGTTTTACAATACAAAAGACTGATCGATACAGAGAAAAAAGTTAAGCTGCCCCAGTAGTGTTTATATTGTAAATTGTAAATATATGCTTATGTACAAACTATTTTTAGAATATTGAAATGAAATTTGTTTATGTGATCAAGCCGTGATGCAGTTGTTAGAAAGCTTACTTAGTCCTGCTGAGTTTGCTCTCGCTGTAAAACTTTGCATTACTAGTGAAATGCCTTTAGTGCATGCATGATTACACGTGAATGTCATTATGCAGTCTTCATCCGTGGATCAACATTAAAAAATCCAGAGGATGCTTTTTTATATTCAGTGTCATAAGTTGTTTTAA